TGAAGACTCCAAGCTGTCAACATAAGGCAGGCCGTAGACTATGCAATTTTCTTTCCTTCCACCTGCGGTGGAAGGAAAGAAAGATGCTTGATTCTGACAGTGTTGATGGAGAAATCCATCCATCTCAAAATTATATTGATCGATTTCAGTACAACCAGCCTTTTGGTTTTTTTGTACAATTCATTGTGTTCTCCTGCTGTCAGGATACATTAGTGCAGCAGAAAGGATTCCCCCATCAACGTGGGCTGTATTGAATGGGGAACTGAGTAATATTATTTCCTTCCACCAGTGGTTGAAGGAAAGAAAAGATGTTTTTTGGCAATGTCTAATCTGGCTTTTCTATTCTTCAGGCTTATGAATGGTTTGCACCTTGTGGTGAACCCTCTGTATTTGCTCTCGTGAAGTCTTCTCTTGATTGGAGACTTGTTGTTGTGAATGGTTTTTTCTTTACCATAGAGAGGATCCTGCGATCATCCACCACTGTGGTCTTCCGTGGACGTCCATGCCTTTTTATGTTGCTGAGCTCAACAGTGCTTTCTTTTTTCTTCAGAATGCACCATACTGTTGATTTGGCCACTCCTAATGTTGCTGCTATCTCTCTGATAGATTTGTTTCATTTTTGAAGCCTTACAATGGCCTGTTTCACTTGCATGGACAGCTCCTTTAAACATTTTATTTATGATTATATTCAATTGTCCATTTACTTTTGGTCCCTTGAAAAAGGGGGGATGGCTACTCTTAAGAGCTGTAATTCCTAAACCCTTCCTCCAATTTGGATGTACATACCCTCAAACTAAACCTGAGAGTGTGCACTTTCAGCCCATATCCATTAAAATAACTATCGCTTGAACACGTTTTGGTAAATACCTGAAAAAATCCAATTGTGCCTGTGTCCAAATATATATGGACCTAACTGTGATATATATATATACACACACACACATATACACACACACACACACATAAACACACAATATTTTATTGTTCTCTTAGTCAATGCCCAAGAAATTCACCCTCTCAGTTTGTCTTGAGGACCATTGTCAACATAACAGGAAAACCAACATTTTACAATTATCATTGGAACAAGAGATGACGGCAGTGGTATCGCTATGGGGGTGCAGCCCGCCAGAGGGGTGACACCAGGGCTTTTTCTCGGCCAGAATGTTCCGGAACTGAGTTCCACTACCTCCGGCAATAGCCCTTTACCCGCCGCTCACTGCTATCACTTTCACAAAAAGAAGTCAAGCTTCTGTGTGTACAAGTGACAGTGTTTCTTTCCAGGAGCTGAGCACAGCCCTCCTTGCCTTGCAGTATCCCTATGAGAGCTGAGGGGCGGAGGGATGTGCACAGCCGCTTTACTCTACCGGCGACAGTTCCTTCTGAAGCCTGTGCGCGCAGTCTGCAACACAAGTTGTAGCTGCTCTTCGACAGCAATCCTCTCTCCTCTCTTGTGGCCTTCAAAGCATGCAGTACCTAACTTTTCACCCTGTAGATAGTGAACTGTTCAGCCTTGCACCCTGTACATAGAGCACTTCTGAACCCTATTCCCTGTACATAGAGCACGTCTGAACCTTTCCCCCTGTACATAGCGCAATTCTGAACCTTTCCCCCTGTACATAGCGCAATTCTGAACCTTGCACCCTGTAGATAGTGAACTGTTCAGCCCTTGCACCCTGTACATAGCGCACTCCTGAGCCCTGCCCCTGTACATAGCGCACTCCTGAGCCCTGCCCCTGTACATAGCGCACTCCTGAGCCCTGCCCCTGTACATAGCGCACTCCTGAGCCCTGCCCCTGTACATAGAGCACTCCTGAGCCCTGCCCCTGTACATAGCGCACTCCTGAGCCCTGCCCCTGTACATAGCGCACTCCTGAGCCCTGCCCCTGTACATAGCGCACTCCTGAGCCCTGCCCCTGTACATAGCGCACTCCTGAGCCCTGCCCCTGTACATAGCGCACTCCTGAGCCCTGCCCCTGTACATAGCGCACTCCTGAGCCCTGCCCCTGTACATAGCGCACTCCTGAGCCCTGCCCCTGTACATAGCGCACTCCTGAGCCCTGCCCCTGTACATAGCGCACTCCTGAGCCCTGCCCCTGTACATAGCGCACTCCTGAGCCCTGCCCCTATACATAGCGCACTCCTGAGTCATGCCCCTGTACATAGCGCACTCCTGAGCCCTGCCCCTGTACATAGCGCACTCCTGAGTCATGCCCCTGTACATAGCGCACTCCTGAGTCCTGCCCCTGTACATAGCGCACTCCTGAGTCCTGCCCCTGTACATAGCGCACTCCTGAGTCATGCCCCTGTACATAGCGCACTCCTGAGTCATGCCCCTGTACATAGCGCACTCCTGAGTCATGCCCCTGTACATAGCGCACTCCTGAGCCCTGCCCCTGTACATAGCGCACTCCTGAGCCCTGCCCCTGTACATAGCGCACTCCTGAGCCCTGCCCCTGTACATAGCGCACTCCTGAGCCCTGCCCCTGTACATAGCGCACTCCTGAGTCATGCTCCTGTACATAGCATACTCCTGAGTCCTGCCCCTGTACATAGCAGACTCCTGAGTCCTGTAACCTGTATATAGCCCACACCTGAGTCTTGTAACCTGTATATAGCCCACACCTGAGTCCTGCCCCTGTACATAGTGCACTCCTGAGTCCTGCAACCTGTACATAGCACACCGAGTCCTGCAATCTGTACATAGTGCACCCCTGAGTCCTGCAACCTGTACATAGTGCACCCCTGAGTCCTGCAACCTGTACATAGTGCACCCCTGAGTCCTGCAACCTGTACATAGTGCACTCCTGAGTCCTGCAATCTGTACATAGTGCACCCCTGAGTCCTGCAATCTGTACATAGTGCACCCCTGAGTCCTGCAATCTGTACATAGTGCACCCCTGAGTCCTGCAACCTGTACATAGTGCACCCCTGAGTCCTGCAACCTGTACATAGTGCACCCCTGAGTCCTGCAATCTGTATATAGTGCACCCCTGAGTCCTGCAATCTGTACATAGTGCACTCCTGAGTCCTGCAACCTGTACATAGCACACCCCCGAGTCCTGCAATCTGTACATAGCGCACTCCTGAGTCCTGCAACCTGTACATAGCGCACCCCCGAGTCCTGCAACCTGTACATAGTGCACTCCTGAGTCCTGCAACCTGTACATAGTGCACTCCTGAGTCCTGCAAACCTGTACATAGTGCACTCCTGAGTCCTGCAACCTGTACATAGTGCACTCCTGAAAACTGCACCCTGTTGTATCACACTCTGTGGGGAGTTGCAGTGGAGGAGTGGTTGAGTTCCTGCATCTATTCTCTGAGGAAAGAAGCCCTGGGTGTTGGTGACACCAGCAAGTGCACTGTGGCAGGCATGACAGGAGAGAGCCCCATGCGCTAACCTGCCCAGTGTCTAGTGCTCTGTCCTGCTCCTGTTGTCACACTGCAGCAGGACAGAGCCCTGTGGCAGGCTAGTGAGGGAGATCTGCAGCAGTGTGGTAAAACATGGTGTGTGTCCCATGAAGGGGGGAAGGGGGGGGGGGTGATACAATGTTTTACCACCCCAGGTGACAACAACCCTACTGATGCTACTGGGTGCAGAGAAATTTTCCAAAAGTGACACTTATTCCAGTGACAACAGCCCAAAAGTAGAGTTCACCTCACTATAGAGTGGTTTCAACACTTTCTGTTATGTCTCTGGGACAGGAAGTGACTACAAATTTCCCCAAAGGGACACAAAAAAGACAATTAAGAAGAACCTTCTATCCAAAAATGATTTTAGACATATTTTTGTCTATTTCTATACTCTCGGCAGGAGTATTATTTTTTCCTTGAAAAAAGATCACTCAGACTGGAATGTCTATCAGGGTCCCCTGCACTGCAGAGTGCTGTTAATCTAACAACAGAAGCATTCTGAAAAAGAAAGAGCAGACTGGTAATTTAATCAATGTACTGCAACGTTTATTGTCTAAAGCAGCTATTCTCAACCAGGGTTCCTCTAGAGGTTGCTGGGGGTTCCCTGAGATGTGGTTCATTGAGCTCTCATTTAATGGTGCCTGCATGGCCCTAGGACCTGAACAACTTGGCACAGCCGGTGGCATGACACCAGTTATCTTATAAGCTGTTGATAAGAGTCGTATTCTGACCATCACTATAACGGTTGCATTCTTCCTACTGATCACCAAGACATGGGGCATTTTTGCCATTGACCACCGATATTTGGTTTAAGTAAGGGTTCCCAGAGACCTGAAAATTATTTTAGGGGTTCCTCTAGGTTAAAAAGGTTGAGAAATGCTGGTCTAAAGACTAGTTGGGGGCAGTTCTTAGAACAGGCTAGGTTCTCAATTGCAGTGTAGCCTGTAATGAAGGGTTTGTTTTTTTTTTAGAGCTCGCTCACAAGGGCAGCCAGGTACAAGTAGTCGGTAGAGCTGTGGTTTTACCGCCCTCTGACCGCCCACTTAAAGAAGGGCATGCAGCTACTCAGGGCTGTACACATACTTCAGTCGTGGTAAAAACTAAACTTGGCATCACCTGTGCACATACTGTAGAGCAGTGGTTCAGCATTTCTACCACTAAAGCAGGCAGTGACGAGGTGACATATAGCCTTCTTATCAACTATCAAACGTCCTCTGAAAATCGATCCAGGGACCCAGGGAGTCCAGACAAGGACTGCTGCCTGGCAGGAGTGCCTGGATCACAAGACTAACCACACAAAAACCAAAGATCCTTTGACAAGCACATCATCTCATAAATATAAGTAGTTTAGTAACAGCTGCAGCTAACAGAAAAGCGATTAAGTGGCTACTGTGATTTGCAAGTCTTCACAAACCATTACAATAACCAGCACAGCAGGGACGCTCTCAGAGATTTCTATGCATAGACTGGGACTCAAACTGCCATGGATTCCAGCAGGAGGATGCGCATGGGTTGTAGGTAATACTATAGAAACACAATTAATAGTAAGGGCTTCATATATAATAAGCCCAACAAAGAAAAATACTAACCACAACTTGCAGCATCCGATCATTCTGGTTCCCAGGACTCTCAGCCATCATTTGACGTAGAGTTTGTGTCAGGGTTTTCCCCAAGAGAATTATAGATCCAAACATGGCAATAATCCCAAACACCATTCCTAAGCTGAACCTGAAAAATTAGAAAGCATGTAAGGTGGGTGGTACCATGCTTAATACTGTATGCATGTGATACTCTAGATGTGATTTGAAAATGATTCCATCATTCCCCACTTTCTTTTTTTCACAAATATAACCTAATAAAACAAGTTACACATTTTTGGGCCTTGTGCACACAGGTGCATTTGCTCGTGTAAAGTAAAAATTGGACATATTTCTGCACCCGGGGGAGGCAAAGGTGGTGCATACAGTCCCTGTTATCAGCCTATCAAACGCAATGACAATACACTTTGGCTGTAAGCGGTTATAAGCACACCCAAGCTGTACCTACACTCAAGGCCTTATGCCCTGTCTGCATTCGGCCAAAGCATATTTTAGCATGTCATTGATTTTAACAGATAGTAGTGGACTACATGTACCACTTGTGCCTTCAGGGTGCTGAAATACACCCAGTTTTTACGCTATATGGGCAAATGTGCATAAGGCATTACATAAACAGTTTATCAAAATATTTTTTTTTCCTTTTCTATGGCAAGTACAATCCCTTCAGCATCAACAGGCATATACATAGTTTGAGAGGAATACCATCTTAAAAATGACAATGTTCCCAAAACTAACTCCTAGAGACACTCCCATTAACTGTACTGTGCTCTTTCCTTCATGCATTGAAGGTGGAATTCCTGAACTTTGTCTGGGGTCATAAAACTGAGCAGATTAATTACCGGCTCTTAGCCTCATGAAAAAAAAAAAGGGCGGGATATTGGTTTATTGGATCCCTTTAATACTACTACGCTTTCCATATGACTCATAAATTGGACTGGATTAAACATGGTACTTACAAAGGCTAGGTGAGTTTATAGCAAGATGTTTCACCACTTCCGCTGCAGACCCTCTCATGGCAGACCATGGTCCTCCCTCAGGAGATAAAATTGCACCCTTTGATAGGTACTACCATGTCAGTCTTGGCCAAGGGAGGTTGTTTGGGGGATTCTTACCTGATAACTACTTGTATGTCTCCAATAATTTGGGCCCAGGATTTCATTCAGGGTTTGATGGGTGCAAGACTCAAAGCCTTTCTTCTAACTAATCAGTTCAGGATTAAGTACTTTTTACACAAGTTTCATTGACGTTCCATCCCTGACAATTAAGATATGCTCTCTCAACCACTAAACTACTGGCGAGCCATGCAAATACTACATTTTCTAACTACCATCCAATTGGGTAAGATATCCCAGAGGCTGGTGTCACCATTTAAGCAACACGGTTTGCATATTTCACAACTTTGACATATGCTTTTGATCTCTTAATCTTTGATAAACAAACCCCTATGAGGATTACGTCCCCTCCTTTCTACAGAAGTGGGAATGGGACCTGGATAGGACCCAAACAAACCAGAGGGACTGAGTCCTGTTCTTTGCCCATTGGTCCTCCCTCTGCAGCAAATATCAGGAGTTAGGATATAAACCGTTGCAGGGAGGAGCTACAACGCTTGACGTCACGCTGCTGAGACCCTGTGGTGGTCCGGCAGCCATCTTGCCTACATATGGTCAGTGTCTTTCTACTTATCTACAATTATACCTGTGACTGGATAATAAAATTTTGAAGCAGTATCACGCTTTGTGGCCTCCTCCTTTTTTGGTCTCTTTATGAGTCCAACCATCCGCCGAGTTCTTTGCAGAGGAGAAGGAAGCTGCTATTATCCACGAGGTATCCAGGGAGGAATCCACATCAGATGGGGGAGAGGCCCCCATTAAGACGCTTTAGCTGACCTACTGAGATATTGTTTTCTCAAATGCGCAATAACTTTGTGCATCTGGTGAGTGCGCAATTTATTCATTTATCACCAGAAGTCTTTTGGGAAGAAATCCTCATTACCATATTTCACTCTTGACCTTTATATGGACTTTTGCTTTATGTACCTTACACATGATCCTATTTTATAAATCTTCATGGTATTATCTGACTGCATGATATATAATGTTGATCATATAAGCGCTGCACCTTTATTTATATTCTGGTTTTAGAGAGGTTGTATTTGGTACCTTTTGGTGTCCCAGCTGCTTCGATATAGAGCGCTCACTTTCTTCTTTTTGTTTATTAGAATATTAAACTGTTGACTGGTATAGGACTCCTACTCTTTCTCTCACCATTGTGTTGGCGATGCCAACGAGATACAGGTACTCTGTTTTTTTGGTCATGCCCCCTGCCTATATTCCTTCTGGGGAAGAAATTTGATGGCTGTTCTTTAAACTCTTGGATATATCCTTGGAATCGTGCCCAGAGACATTCTTACTACATTACTCTCAGGAAGCAAATACTAGAAATCTCCCCTGATCCATTTACTCAATGCTGTCAAGGTGAGCATCACACAAAAATAGAGCACTACAGACCTACCGATGGTTGGTCAATGGATAGCAGTGGTAAATGGTAGTAATTTTTTGGGGATACAGGACTGGAGGACAATTGTGATAAAAGTGTAGGACAGGGTAAATGGAAGGTGTCGAAAACAAGTATTTCTGGTGTAATCTTGAGATGGAGGGGGTTAAAAATATGTATGAGAGGGACCCAAGGATTATTTGAGAACAGTGGAGCTTGTGTCAGCTGATTACACACTTTCAGGCTGAATGAATCATTCATCCGTCCCTGGCCCATCAATGACCTTTCAAACCAGCATGTGTAATTAGCAGTGTAGGTGCGGCTGAGCATTGCTTTTATATCGATCCCAGCAGTGGCGGTTAATAGGGTCCCAGCCCCCTGAATGCTGTACACACATAAACACTGCACAAACGTTACCTGCCTATAGCGAATACACAGGATCTTTCTTCTAGCAAAACACTGTATATTTTGTGGAAACATTTTGGATTCATCAGTGTAAACGAGCAGGGTTGGCAGGGCTTAAGTCTGAGAGGCAAAAATGAATGTCCTCTTTGTATTGAACTCCTGGGACCTAGAGGGTCCTCATAGACACACAAATTCATTTTAAGATTAAAAACCAACTTTTTTTGTTTTGCATAGAGCACTTGTTATGGCTGTGTCCCTACTGGGGAGATGCCTCCTTACTTTCTATGAGGACAAAAAAAAAATCATTTTTAGTACAGTAGTTACAAGTCAGGACTTTTGACAACACTTTTGTTGTTATCTCTGCCTCTCTGTCCCAGTAACAGCTGCACCCTCTACTCCTCAATATGCGTGTCCCAGGGACAGAAAAGGATAGAAACACTACCCAATATAACTTTTCCGCACTCTAAAAAGGTACGTTTGGGCTAGAGTTAGTCTTGCAGACAGACAACACAATTGTTGTTATTATTATCACATTTTTACAAAAAAGAAAACGTACTGAAATAGGCAGGCTGACTTCTGTTTCTGGAAATATTTTATACTGTATATGGCTGTTGTGCTCATTCAGTGGTTTCATTACAGTCAGGTTATAGAAACAGTGACCTAATAAATATGAAAAATCTAGTCATGGTTTTAAAGTGTAACTAAAGGCAAAACTTTTTTTCTAGTTTTGGATAGAGTGGAGAGGGATTAGATCACCTGTCAGTTTTTATTGCTGTAGGTACCCCATTAAGGAGATTCATCCTCTCTACATTGTTTAATGTTATCATTGAAAGTGAAAATAAAAGAAAACCATAAAATTTTGGGCTAACACCAAAACAGGAACAGAAGGGAAATCTTCCAATAGGGACACTAGTTCTGGTGACCCTGGTGACACCTCCTGGGATTCCCTCACTTTGGAAGGATTTTCTCCTCAATGTGAAGGAAAATCTTCCCTATGGGACACATATGGCAAAGAAACAGACAGGGGTTATAACCCTCCCTTGCTCCTATCCAATATGGAGAAAACTATTTTACAATTAGTTACACTTTAATAATAAAGTCTCTCTGAAATATTGTGGCACTCTGACCACAACTGAAAGCTCCTATGTTAGATATAGAGTAAAAGAGATTACACACACACATATATATATATATATATATATATATATATATATATATATATACACACACAAACACACATACTTACTGTATATATTGTAATATAGGAAATTGGAATCACCAGCCAGTCGTTTGTAAACGTAAGCAGTTTTTACTGTGTACTCAACAATCAAACAAAAATAGATTTCCTTCAGCAAAACCAATGAAAACCGTCCATAATTCTGGTATAATGAGTATAAATGTTGGCTCTCCACCAGTATACCAATCCCACACCAGGAATTAGGAGGAGTTCAGCATTGTCTCAGTTGCCAGACCGTTCACATTTGCTCATACCTGAGAACCACTCTACCGCATAGACACCTGCTGGCTGATGCCTATTCCTTCTCTGGACTCTGCTGCAGATGGGTCAACCCTTTCAGGGCCAAAGTGCCTGTAATCAGGTTTGGAGGCTTTCTTTCCCACCAATGTCTCTCCAAGACTCTGTATTCCGGGTCACAGTCGAGGATTTGCCAATCCCTAGAGCACTGTAAATCAGTCCTCTCTTTCCAGGCAGACTACTCTGGAACCCCACATGCGTAAGAACCCCTGAATACTCACACACTGCATTCAAGTCCTCTTAAAGGGACAACAACCTAAATAGTGGAGAAATAGAACACCCATCTAGGACCCATCCTTGGTGTCCTGTGCGATATATATATTAAAAAACACTGATTTTGAATGTTTGCCCACTCACAAAGAAATGATCAGTTTAAAAATCGAATGGTAGGTGTATTGTAACACTGAGAGACAAAAAATTGAAAAGAGACGCATGTCCAACACATTATGCACTGATTTGCATGTTCATGAGGAAAATAAGTATTTGATCCCCTTCACAAAACATGACTTAGTACTTGGTGGCAAATCCCTTGTTGGCAATCACAGAGGTCAGACGTTTCCTGTATTTGGCCACCAGGTTTGCACACATCTCAGGAGGGATTTTGGCCCACTCCTCTTGGCAGATCCTCTCCAAGTCATTAAGGTTTGGTGGCTGACGTTTGGCAACTCGAACTTTCAGCTCCCTCTACAGATTTTCAATCGGATTAAGGTCTGGAGACTGCCTAGGCCACTCCTGGACCTTATTGTGCTTCTTCTTGAGCCACTCCTTTGTTGCCTTGGCCGTGTGTTTTGGGTCATTTTCATGCTGGAACACACATCCACGACCCATTTCCAATGCCCTGGCTGAGGGAAGAAGGTTCTCACCCAAGATTTGACGGTACATTGCCCCGTCCATCCTCCCTTTGAGTCCTTGTCGGCGTAGTGTGTTACCAGTTGTTTTCTTGGTGACTGTGGTCCCAGCTGCCTGGAAATCATTGACAAGATCCTCACGTGTAGTTCTGGGATGATTCCTCACTGTTCTCATGATCATTGACACTCCACAAGGTGAGATCTTGCATGGTGCACCAGACCTAAGAAGACTGACAGTTGTTTTGTGTTTCTTCCATTTGTGAATGATTGCACCAGCTGTTGTCACCTTCTCACCAAGCTGCTTGGCGATAGTTTTGTAGCCCAGTCCAGCCTTGTGTAGGTCTACAATCTTGTCCCTGACATCCTTGGACAGCTCTTTGGTCTTTGCCATGGTGGGGAGTTTGGAATATGATTGTTTGATTACTCCTGTGGACAGGTGTCTTTTATACAGGTAAAAAAATGAAATTAGCAGCACTCCATTTAAGAGACTGCTTCTAATCTCAGCTTGTTACCTGAATGAAAGACAGCTAGTAGCCAGAAATCCTGCTGAATGATAGGGGATTAAATACTTATTTCCCTCATGAATATGCAAATCAGTGCATCATTTGTTAGACATGCATTTCTTTTGAATTTTTTGTTGTTATTCTGTCTCTCAGTGTTACAATACACCTACCATTCGATTTTTAGACTGATCATTTCTTTGTGAGTGGACAAATATTCAAAATCAGCAGGGGATCAAATACTTATTTCCTTCACTGTATATATATATATATATATATACAGACACACTTCTTTCCTCAATGCTATAGACAAGCAATAGGATTAGCTAAAATTCTTGCAAAGTATATACCTAAGCAGAAGACAGGAATTGGTAACTTGGAATCTAGCAGTGTGCAGTGTTTACACTTCTCTAGAATGTCTAGAATAAGCCCTCTTGTATAACAACAAATGCCGACACTTACCACAAGTACAGGAAATGTGGCTTCCATCTCCCCCACTTATAAAACAAACGATTGAAAATGGTGGTTTGCCAGCGAATATGGAACGGTGAGATGCTCAATCCTCTAGATGAAAGCCATTCTTCATAGGAGCTCTTGTATGATTTGGAAGACTAAAGACAAATAACAGAAGAAAAGTTTTCATTAGTCATAAAGCTGCGAGCAATTCTGTGTTTTCTGTCATCTGTCAGTATACCTCAAAGCCGAGTCACACTTTTGTATTAGCGTGTTGCAATGCTGTTCATTTTGATTAGCACTCCAAAGAACTACAACAATGCAGCTCTGATGCCCACACCCCTGTTCCCATCATTTCTTTTCCAATGTCACAAAGGTGTCACTGAGACACACAACCAGAAGAAAGCTCCCCAATGGAGTCACAGAAAGAAATAAAAACCTGGCAGAGGTTCCAACCTTCCCCACTCAATTAAAAAATCTGGCAGACATTAAAGCTGAACGCTAGGCACAAGTAAAAAAAAAAAAAAAAAAAAAAAACACACATGAAAGAACATGTAAACCCAACATTTCATATTTCTGATATGTGCCTGTTGTACCATGTACTTGTATGAAAAAGTATCCCGTTCTCTTTGTATATTTTCCTTTGTGTGAAATCCCTGGTGTTCCGGCCACTCCCTCTGCTTTCCTAATAATAACTGACCACACTAGGCATGAGATCACAGAGTGGTCAGTTATCTAGTTGCTCTCCTCCAATGATCAGACTTATGCTGACACGGCCCCCCCTTCCTTTCCCCCCAGCCACAGCCATTCACTGGGAAGTTCAGTGTGCTGATGTTTCTCCAGCCCCAGCTCTCTGAGCTCCTTATGCAGCTGAGAACCAAGGCTACATGATCACTTATAGAAAGGGGAAAAAAAAGGTAAAATGTTTTTTATATAAACACACAAATGTTTTACCTTTCGTTTCTATTTTAAACTCAATGGGTTGTTTTACAAAGTGATGGTTTACATATACTTTAAAGCTGAATTCCAGGTATGGATTTTATAGTTTAGCATGCATTTGCCATACTGGAGGGATCACTGTAGCTGTCACTGCAGAAGTGTCTGCCCTGCTGTGTAGTAAGTACAGGGGGTCGCTAACTTGGCACAGGCACCATTTTATATTTTATTTACTCTTTGAAGTTTTTCATTTAGTACAAGGTATTCCTTGCTTGGATGAGGTGAAGAAGTGGGAGCAGTGACATCATGATCTCCACCTCGTCCAATCAGACACCGCTTTGCATCACTGAGAAAAAAGCAAGGTGTTCTGTGAAAGCCACTTGTGCCAATGTAACTATATGATAAAAACTATACCAGGCATTCATCTTGAATGCTCTGAATTCAATAAAATATTACCGTATTATTATTATTATACAGTATTTATAAAGCGCCAATGGTTCACTCAGCGCTGTACAATACAAAGGGGGACAGAACATGTGACAGAACAATACAATGCAAAACATGAGGGGATCGAGGGCCCTGCTCTTTCGAGCTTACAATTATATTAATTAACTAGAAAATCTACAATTTCGGGGAAATTGTGTAAAGTGTTCTTGCAAGTAACCCTTACCAAATGATTGATGAAATGTAAGCAGTGCACATTGCAAGCCTGACAGAGGGAGAAATGCATTTCAGCTTGTATTTTGCATCTCACAGTCCAGCCTGTGTGACTCATCTGACTCTTGAGTGACCTTTGGTTGCTATAGAAACTCACTCAGTCAGGAATGTCAGCAGCTCTGTTCTAAACACGGTGTTTAAACTTGCCAACTTCACTGGCGATTGCCATCTTCAAACACTTGTAGTTTTAAAAGTATAAATGCTACAGCAAAGAGCCTTATATTGTGATAATCACAAGAAGCAGGGCTAACTTTTGATGTATAGTCTCTGAAAGATAAAAAATGAAGGCACAGTCGCAGTTTAAAAACGTCCCCTAAAATTTCAGGTGTCTAGAGTGGATTTTCAATGAAAGTCAATGGGAGGGGTGAGTTGCAAACAAATGTTCATATTCTGAAAACTATCAGGAGTATGTCCTAGCCGTGAACATTTTTAGTGACAGCAGGGTTAGCTGAACGTTTTGATATAAGATATGTGTAGGTGGGCTTGAAAATGACAGAGTGATGGCAGTTTACAAATCATGTTCTGATTTTTCCTTTGCACACTCTAGCTGTGCTCTGCTGCCCACTCTACATGCACCATTCATTCCTATGGGAAAATTTTGCCACAAAAACCGCGATATTTCTTGAACGATTCGGCAAAACGTTCCACAAAGTAATAGCAATCCGATCGGGAACAATCTGCACTTTTTGATATATTACTTGTCTTTGTAGTGTAAAAACTGTGGGAGGAGTTAGCGTGTGCAAATTTGGCTATAATAAGAATATACTTGTGAGATAACAATAAGTGCTCTTGCCATGCAAGAACACTTAATTATATTTTTAAATATACACAGTGTATGTGAAAGTGACCTTATATCAGCCCCTGTACAGCAGGAAGCGGAAGCAGCGTATGTAGCCAATAAGTAGCATGCTAACAGGAGGACAGAGCAGACTGGCAGTCAGATGAACTCATCACTGCGCTGTTCTCCTTTCACTGCCCAGTGGGTTCATGACAACCTGAGCTCTGAGGAAGAAGGTGAAATGATGCTGGACATCAGACTGGGGACATCTAATGGCAGTAAAAAGTACTGCAGGTGAAATCTCTGGCTTGTAGATGAATATTGCAGAAAAAGCTGCTTTGTTATTTTATCTTTTAATGTGTGATTCAATTTTATGTTCTTTCTGGCTGGAGTCCCGCTTCCAGACCTAAATACTTTTTAGCGCATGGCGTTCCTATAAAACATCCTCCATGCAATGTATGACAGTGACACATCTACCTCCTAAAACGTAAACTCAATGGAATGGCATGTCCTGAACACCAAGCCGGATATACTGTACATTGTTCATGTGTCATTCCATGATTCTTCTAGATCCCCCCCCCCTCATTCATGTACACATTGACCATCATGTGACTACATAGTATGCAATATGCGGAAAGAGGAAGGCTTCCCTCTTTGCGGTCTCACCGTCAGTAAAGCATCGGCCAGATAAATGGCACACCATCCTCCCAGCACCACCACCACCAGCGGGATCGGGATCATCGCCACTGACAGCGAGCCATCCAATCGGCAGAACACGTCGGAACTAAGGCACACCCAGGAACTTGACGTGCACGGCAGATGTTCTGAGACGGACACATCCGTTGCAAGTACCGAAGGATACTGTCTAGTGATTGGCTGCCGACCGTTTCCTGTGTAATGCCATTTTTAATACGGGCGGAAGAAGTGTGACAGACGAGGCAATCTGTGGTTGGTTGCCTGGAGCCCTGAGATTGCCAGTACTTGAAGATGGTTTTTAGGGATATATATCTATATATATCTATATATATCTATATATATATATATATACTATATATATATTTATATATATATATATATATATATATATATATATATATATATATATGTATATGTATGTGTGTGTATATATGTATATGTATATATTTGTATGTGTATATATGTATGTGTGTATATAAAAGAAAAAAATGTATCTTAATAATACATAAAAGTGTGTGTGTGTGTATATATATATGTGTGTGTATATATATATATATATATATATTTATATATATATATATATATATATATGCCAGTACTTGAAGATGGTTTTAAGGGGTATATATATATATTATAATATATATATGTGTGTGTGTGTATATATATATATATATATACACACACACACATATATATATATATATATATATATATACACACATATATATATATATATATACACACACACACATATATATATATATACACACACACACACTCTTATGTATCTATTAAGATACATTTTTTTCTTTTTTTTTTTTTTTCTGCATTTGTGAGTATACCTATCAGAATTTAGTGAGCCATAAGTATGAAAAGCAGCCTAAAAGACAAGCGTGCTAAAATGGCACATTTTTAAGGAGAGCTAAAGCTAAAACTCTTTCTTTTTTTTTTTAGTTCTGGATAGAGTGGAGAGGGTTCAGAACACCTGTCCATTTGGTGTGCCCCTGTTAAGGAGATTCATCCTATTTATCCTGTTTACCGTTATCACTGAAAGTGAAAGCAAAAGAAAATCCAAAATTTTGGGTTGTCCCTAGAGCAGTAAAAGAGGTGACATCTTCCAATGGGGACACTAGTTCTGGTGGCCTTGGGGCCCCAATGGATTACCTTAATTTGCAGGGATTTCCTCTCACTTCCTGTTTTGGCAATGGGACAGGAAGTGAAGAGAAATTTCCCCAATGGGAGATATTGCAAAAAAAAAAAAAACAATATGATGGGTTATAACCCTCCCTTATGCTATTCACAATGAAAAAAGTTTTACAAATAGTTCCACTTAAAGGAGAACTAAAAACAAAAAATGTTTCACTTTGGATAACGCAAGGGAAGATTATAAAAAAGCTATGGCACCCAGAATTGTCGATAGGTGACCCTTGAAGAGCCTTCACATCTGTTTGGAGAAAACTTTGGCCCTAGAATTATTGCTGTCCCTCCAGCATGTGCACCTAATGTGTGCTGTACATTTTACACTTGTGCACATTTGTGTTCACCTGTAGCGCCATGATCTAGTTTACATGCTGGTAATTCGTTCAGGATTCACATTTCTATGGAAACCCCATAGCTGACTTGCTGGGCTGTGTACAACAGCTTCTGCACCCAAATCTGAATATTTGTTACTCAAAAAAGATGAACTTTGATCCACCATACCTGTTTGAACGACAAAGTGTTGGACAGTTATTTCTGCAGCGCCGTTATTAAAAAAACATTGCAGAAATAGCCATAAGATGGCCAGTGCACTTGATAACAGCTGTTCATTGACATGTCACCCGGGGACTCACTACACAGAAAGTGCACTGAGCTGATCACTGTGATGACCAATCACAGTGATCACAAATATAAATATACTTTGCTCACCTTCTCTTAAAATAGAGAAGCGTAGTAAGTTATTGTGGGATTTTGTAACCCTTTCACCCCCCTTTCAGAAAGACAGGGATTCTTTGGGAAGTAGCTTAACGCATTAGAGATATGTAGCGCTACCCACCAAGGAGTCGCTTGCCAGTTTGGATTTTCTGTTCTGTGCCTCCACTCCAAAAACAACCTCGGCCTCTCTGACACACCTGGTTGACGAAAAATCACTGCAGGCATGGATAACTACTCAAGTGTAAAATACCTTTAACCTGGCTGTGGATTACTACCAGTAAATGGACACACACCCGTGTAGTGGTAAATGGTCTTAATCTATTGATACGGGTAGGAATAAATGGCAAATTGAACATACAGTTGCAAGAAAAAGTATGTGAACCCCTTGGGATTACGTGGAGTTTTGCATGAATTGGGCATAAAATGTGCTCTGAACGTCATCTAAGTCACAACAATAGAAGAACACAGTCTGCTGAACATAATACCACACACAAACATTAGATGTTGCCATGGTTTAATTGCACATAACATGTAAACATTCACAGTGCAGGGAGGAAAAAGTATGTGAGGCCCTAGCTTAATGACTTCTCCCAGAGCTAATTGGAGCCAGGAGTGAGCCAACCTTGACTCCAATCAGTGTGATGATATTGGATGTGTTGCTGACAGCTGTCCTGCCCTTAAAAAACACACACCTGATTTGGGTTTACTGGTTTCAAGAAGCACTGTCTGATGTGAACCATGCCTCGCAGAAAAGAGCTCTCAGAAGACCTACGATCAAGAATTGTTGACTTGCATGAACCTGGAAAGGGTTACAAAAGTATCTCCAAAAGCCTTGATGTTCATGTGTCCACAGTAAGACAGACTGTCTACAAATGGAGAAAGTTTAGCACTGTTGCTACTCTCCCTAGGCGTGGTCGTCCTGTAAAAATGACTGCAAGAGCACAGCGCAGAATGCTGCATGAGGTAAAGAAGAATCCCAGAGTGTCAGCTAAAGACCTACAGAAATCTCTGGCACATGCTAACATTTTTGTTGACACATCTACAATAAGGAAAACATTAAACAAGAATGGAGCACATGGGAGGACACCACGGAGGAAGCCATTGCTGTACAAAAAGAATATTGCAGCACGTTTGAAGTTTGCAAAAGAGCACCTGGATGTTCCACAGCAATACTGGCAAAATATACTGTGGACAGATGAAACCAAGATTGAGTTGTTTGGGAAGAACACACAACACTATGTGTGGAAAAAAAAGGCACAGCACACCAACATCAAAAACCTCATCCCCACTGTGAAACATGGCGGAGGGAGCATCATGGTGTGGGGCTGCTTTGCTGCCTCAGGGCCTGGACGGATTGTTGTCATTGATGGGAAAATGAATTCCAGAGTTTATCAAGACATTTTGCAGGAAAACGTACGACCATCTGTCCGCCAACTGAAGCTCTGCAGAGGATGGGTGATGCAACAGGACAATGACCCAAAGCATACAAGTAATTCAACAAAACAATGGCTGCAACAGCACAGAATACGCCTTCTGGAGTGGCCCAGTCAGAGTCCTGACCTCAACCCCATTGAAATGCTGTGGCATGACCTTAAGAGAGCGATTCACACCAAACATCCCAAGAATATTGCTACACTGAAACCGTTTTGTGAAGAGGAGTGGTCCAAAATGACTCCAGATCATTGTGCAGGTCTGATCTGCAACTACAGGAAACGTTTGGTTGAGGTTATTGCTGCCAAAGGAGGGTCAACCAGTTATTAAGTCCAAAGGTTCACATACTTTTTCCTCCCTGCACTGTGAATGTTTACATGTTATGTGCAATTAAACCATGGCAACATCTAATGTTTGTGTGGTATTATGTTCAGCAGACTGTGTTCTTCTATTGTTGTGACTTAGATGATGTTCAGAGCACATTTTATGCCCAATTCATGAAAAACTCCACGTAATCCCAAGGGGTTCACATACTTTTTCTTGCAACTGTAAATGAACACACAGCTGACTGATTATGACACAGTCTGCTAGACAGAGTAATGCAGGCCATAGATAGTTTGTTTATCGGCCGCTTTTTCGTCCGAAAGAATAATCGGCGATTTTCGCACTGTTAGTGGGGCAATGGCATCAGCCGATTTTCGCAGTTCCTCCTCATTTCTTTTATTGGTCATGCTGGAAAATTTGAGAAAAACGGCCAATTTTCGCAATTATTGGTGGCAACAGAATGACCAATGTTTCGTTTTTCAGACGAAAAATTGGCCGATAAATGAACGTCCATGGCCTGCATAATAACTATGTTAAATTGGCAAAAATTTAATTTTATACCTCTGACTAGGAACAGAAGAATAAGTTAATAAATCAGCAATAAATAATATTAGTAAACGTTAAATGCAATATAAATTATGATAACACTATACTAGAATCGCATGCACTCTAAGTAATTAGTTGGGATGCAGCGTCTCTTAAAGGTGCCTCCTTAACCTAAAAAAAAACACAAGGCCTCAGGTCAGCAACTGTTAGAGACAGTCTTTAGTCCTGACTCTTCAGCTAATTGTTGGGGCCCATTAGTGTGTGTGTTAGGACTGTCAATAAGGCCTGCAGGAAATATTAGTGCTGTGGGGTAGCTGATGGGTAGTTCCTAATTGCTCAGTCTCTAATGGTGGTAACAAGTAGTTCAGTAATTCCCAATGGCTCAGTTTCTATCGGTGGTAACAAGTAGTGGCCGCAAGGCCCTCTCACCAGACCTAGCGACACAGCAGCAGTGGTCTCTCTGACCAGGTGTCTGCTTACTCTGGGTTGCCCATGATGAGTCTGGTAGGTAGCTTCATCCCTCCATACTCAGGTCACGCTCTGTACTTTCTGGCTGTCCTTCACTTGGCTGTGGGCTCCATTCCTGTCATATCACTTTCCTGTAACATCTGACACAGGCTCTTTCTCTGTTAGGTGGAGTTCTTTAGCACAGTCCTATCACATCACTCTTCTGTCACACCCAGCTCCTGTCACATCATTCTCCTATCACACTCTGCAGATAACCCACATCTGACACAGGCTCTTTCTCTGTTAGGTGGAGTTCCTTAGCACGGTCCTGTCACATCACTCTCACCCGTCACACTCTGCAAATAATCCACATCTGACACAGGCTCTTTCTCTGTTAGGTGGAGTTCCTTAGCACGGTCCTGTCACATCACTCTCCTGTCACAGCCAGCTCCTGTCACATCACTCTCCTGTCATACTCTGCAGATAAT